TCGCATTCAGTTTTGCTTGGATTTCCTTTGGGAATAATTTTTAAAACCGTTATAGAGTTCACGTTTGCGTGGTAATGATTCAAAATTGCGTGTTAATTGTTATCTAATTATTTTTTTCCAAAATATTAGAATTAATTATTTGTAATTTATATCATTCAAATGCTTAAATTCCAAAGGAGAAGAATTTAAAAATATGTAAAATTAAACAATATATCAAGGTGAATGAAATCCTTTTTTGATAGAATACCAAAGTTATAACAATTAAATAAAACTAGTACTCAGGGAGAATATAAGGGTGTAAACATAAATAAATGGGTCAGAACAATATATCTAATGTGTTTGGTAAGCTTTTGTAAAGGGTGGAATTATATACACGCAAACCTGAATTTACTTTTTATAACATGGAAGACTTCAAGCTATGTACGAAAATATAAGAATCTATTGATTCAAGTAAGGAAAGGATTTGTTATCGAACTGTTTTAAAATTGTTCATCGTTTTTAAATCATTTTTTTTGGTTGCTAACGTGGAGGGACTTCAAGCTTGGAAGATATAAGAACCTATTGATCTACGCATTCCTATATCAACGGAAGGGATTTCTTGAACTGTTTATAAAATAGTTCAATCGACTTTTTAATATTTGGAAATCATCTTCAAACATTTTCCACAACATCGCCCCGTGACGACGACGTGATCATATTTAAAACGGAACGTGATCTTATATAAAAATTTCAGTTATTTGTTTGGATTGGTTGTGTGCTCTTTATGTCCATCGTCTCTTTTGTTGAATTTTTTATATGTTCTAATGTTAATTATGTTTAAATGAAAGGTCCTGAAGATGGTCTTAAATAGACCGAAACGTCCAACGTTGACTTTATATTAACATTAATACAGCATAATAATTGCATATACAAGATTTTTGTTTGTTTTTTCTGTATATTTTTCTTCATATACACACGTTATAAATTAAAACGAATAAAATTATTAGTGGATTGTATGTGTGTATAGATATATGAGAAATCTTATTAATGGTCGGTTCTAAGCTTACTAATAGTTGTATATTATATTAATATTCGTAAAATCTATTTTGTAATCTCCTTTAATCGGGGTCAATGTTTTTGAGCAGCTGCTTGTTCTTAGGAATACATGTAGAAAAAAATTCCGATCTTGTGTTCAGTAAGTTAGTGTTATTTAAGTTTATTTTTAATATAATAAGCGTCTCCAACAAACACAAGTTACATCTTTCTCACTTTCCACTGTATGGCTTAGCTTTCTCGATTATCTCCCTGCTAATGGCTGGCTTCTAATGGTTGTTTTTTTTAATCGGCATTTGAAAGTGTTGCGGGGTTTTTGTATTTGAAATGCTCAGTGTCATTTTGTGGTGGTAAAAACGCGATTTACAACTGTTCTCCGTGTATCCAAAGTAATATTTGACATCATCTTCTGAATTGTTCCTAGCATTATGCTTTCAGTCATGCACTGGGCCCTTAGCGGGCAGGTTTCGTTTTTACAGCATTTGCATGGGCTTTTATTAGGAATATTATTTAGGTTTGTAGATTGCTTGCTTAATATTATTGTTATGTTGGGATATATAATTATCTATTTTGTACAGCTATAGTTCATTATTATTTTAACTGAAAATCTTTTTTTTAGTGTTGAGAATAGCCAAAGTGTTTGTGAATTAAATGTGGTTGCTACGTTTAAGCGCTTTATTATATGTTTGGAGTTTCCGGCGTGAATGCCAAGTAGTACATCATGCCCTTTCCAAATTTCTAGCGGACTGAATTGCGTCATGGTGCACTTTTTTTTCTTCACAGACGGTGCCCAACTGACCTTTCTATACTATGCTGTCGATAAAATAAAGAAAACGAACATGCGCGAAATTAAAAATATAAAATAGCGACAATTTACACATCGCACCCTGTATATATTTAATATCAAAGCTTATCGACACAGACAAAAAAATGAATCTATATGAAATTGGTTTGATTATATACCCGAAACACATATAAATTTTTTTCTAAATTTAAAATTTCCAGTGTTTCTCGTCCAAATCGTGTAACATTGTTCAATTGTTAGATTAATATTTGAACCGTTGTAATTAGAAATGAGTAAAGATATCTTACTGGAATTCTCCGATGTTTTTATAACACATTTGGACTCTACTATGAACAATCAGAAAGTTGAAATGATGTTGTGAACTCCTGTTTTCCTCTCTACTGTTCCCTCTTTTAAAACTTATTCACCGTTCTCTTGATGGTTCTTGAACGGGGTTTGAAGATGGAAGCCAGAGGTTTTTTCAGTGATTCTTACGAGAAATGGTATATTCACGCGTGTGTAAGAATTAGGAAAGTAAAACCACTAAAACACAATGTAACCCCTTGTGTCTTAGTGGCTTTACTTCCTTACTTGGGGTGAAATCAATAAAAGTGTCATCGTTTATATGTAACCGGAACAAGAACCTACAAGTCAAACTCTGGGTACATGTTGTGGTAGGATCCACCTAATTTGCATAGTGGAGTACCGACCATATAAATATGGTTGGTACCGGGAAGAGAAGGAGGAATCAAGAGATTCAACCAGAGACTCTGCCCGACTGCGACTCAGTCAACACATTCTCCAGGAACGGTCTTACCAGGAATATACAAAAGACTATATGTCAATATTGTGTACACTTTCTTGTTTCAATACATTTTGTTCTAAGTACATTTTGTGTTGCATTATTATTCCATGCATTAGTCAAGTTTCAACATATATATCTCAGTGTTAATATCTTACATTCAGTGTCAGTTTCGAGTATAATGCCACGAAACGTAAACATGCCTAATTAACTCTGCTACTTTAAATATGTTCCTTTTACCAGTGCAATTTTAACATACGGGACAGAAAAGCAGAAATATCTGAAAAGCAGTGCCGGAAAAGAACGAATGAGGAACCACTGGTATAACAAGTCGTGTCTATTTTTATATCGTTCATTTTCCGCTCTGACATCTTTTACTAAAGAACTGCATTCTTGTGGAAGATACTGGAATTATTTCTTGTTGCGTCTCTGATGTTTTGAATTTAGAGTTTTGTTTTTAAAATGGTTGACCTCAAAGTTTAAATAGGCTAGTCTACTAATCTATTTTACTTATATCAAACTCCATTTCTTTTTAAATATATTAAACTCCATTTCTCTTTAAGACAAACGTGATAATACCTCAGTCAGTCCGATATGTGCCATGCTTAGGCGGTCATGTATCTTTCGATACATGACTTACAAGCTAGATGTAGACCAGTTGCCATCCAGAACCAGGTCTGCCCTGCTATTTACAGAGAATAAGTGGATTCATACCTTTCCCAATGGTAATTGCAGATAAGAAGATTCATACATTTCGCAGGGGTATTTACAGAGAAGAAGTGGATTCATACCTTTCCCAATGGTAACTGCAGATAAGAAGAAGATTCATACCTTTCGCAGGGGTATTTACAGAGAAGAAGTGGATTCATACCTTTCCAAATGGTAATTGCAGATAACAAGATTCATACTTTTCGCAGGGGTATTTAAAGAGAAGAAGAGGATTCATGCCTTTCCCAAAGTTATAAACACGTAAGTGAATGTAATGGAATAAACTGGAATTCGAACTCCGACCCGTGCGTCCTCCATAATGATATTTCTTTATTATTTGCAAATTATCTTTACTTCTTCAAAAGATATTGGAGTTAGCTGATTTTTCCTGTTACCCTCACCACGTTTTGAAATTTCTGGGTTTTCTTCCTTTTAGTCTGGTTGACATTCAAGTCTACAGAACAACGTTTCCGGGAGGAGATGGGTTCATGCCTTTTAAAAACGGGAAGTAATTCTTAAGTGTAATACAAGAGATTAGACCGTCATTTGAACTCGGTTCGCCGACTGCACTTTTTGCACTGGCCGCACATCCGAAGGTAGATTAGAAATCGGAAATGATTTAATTATAATACGGGGATGAGGCTGAGATGAACGAAACGGTTTCGAATTCCGTTGATGTCATTCCGTGCAAATGACTTTAAGGGAGACGTGCAAACTAATTCTTCATCTTTTTAATTTCTGCGCGCATTGTTCTGGTGCATTTTGCCAAAGGCACACCACGAAGTGAAAAGTTAATAGTTATTCGAAAGAATATTGTTCATGCCAATTTAAAATTTTTTTTAACCCAACTCCACGCATGAATTAAAGTCCCAGATGATTGAATGATTAATAACAAAGAACAAATTTCTCTCTCACACACACACACACACACACACACACACACACACACACATATATATGTGTGTGTGTGCCAATCGGTAGGTTTTAATGTTTTCCCAACTATATTATTACAAAGAAGCCTTTATTAGATATTGAACAGATTCGAAACTGTTTTGTTCGCTCTGATCAAATGCATCCTAACCACTGGGCTACCACGCAATGCTGTAAATTGATAGACGCAAATACAATCACTTACACGGCTGGTGGTGGGGGAAGTAAATGGGACTAATTTCCTGTATAAGATTGCGGCCCCAGGACATGACTTCTACCTCCTCTTGTACTCTTTACTTAGTATCGTTTCCCGATACCTGAAAATCTCCAAAAGTTCCTATTTTCCTAGCTAAACTTTCGTTTCTCTAATACTTTCCTTCGTTTCTCAAGCAAGCAGTTTTTTTTCTTTTCTTCGTTTTCTGTTTGCCTCTTGTCGTCTACTCATAAACTTTCTCATTAACATCTCTTTCGTCACTTTTTACTGCAAGTTTCTCTCCGTCTTCATTTCTCATTCACAACTCTGTGATCGTCTTTTAAACTTTTGCGTGTCTCTCTTCCATTTTGATCTTTCTTTCATCTTAACAGTTTCCCGCCAACAAATACACATTCCATCCCCCTCTATCTAATGATACAATACTTCTTTTTTTAGTTTCCATTTCTTCTCTCTCCCATTTCTTTTTTAATATTTCTTTTTTAACTCTCTTCTCCTCTACTTTATATTACATATTGTCTCTCTCTTCTATTCATTACGATCCCCGAAGTTAAGCAACATCGTGCTAAGTCAGTACTTAAATGGGTAACTGCTTGGGAATACCAGTTGTTGTAAGCTTGGATGTACGGATAGTGTAATGGTTTGGTTTGGTTTGGTGTATTTTTTACGGCATATCAACCTCAATGCGTTATTTAATGCCGACATGATTTTTAGGATAGGTTTGTACGAGTAGAATATGTATTTTTTGTAAGAAATCAGTTTGTAGATCAGGTTTTAATAACGTATCTGTGTGAGGAGGGTTTTGGTCGAAAGTCAAATCTATTATTGCTGATACGTTTTTTCAAAAATGTATTGCTTGAACTAACTTTTTAAAAAATATATTGCCTGTAATTCTACACCACGCATCCATTGTATATATATATATATATATATATATATATATATATATATATATATTGTGTGTATTTAGGCAGCATTTATTCATTCGTACATGTTTCGTTAAATGATATAGACGTTATGAAAAGAATTTACATAAATTGAATAGACAAAACTTGTCTATATTATTTAATATAAATGATGTATATATATATATATATATATATATATATATATATATATACATGTATATGGGTAAGATGTCAAAACGCTATGAAAGTGTAAAAAATGGGCTTACTACCAGCAATTCATTTTGTAAAAAATATCACCAACAAAGAATTTTGAAGAAAAAATGATTAATATTAATACAGCAATACATTTTTGAAAAATATTACCAGCAATAAAAATCTTGTCGGCATTAAACAACTCATTGAGGTTGATATTTAGTAAGACTAAACAACGCAAAACAAATCTCTCCCTCTCTATATATATAAGGTTTGGAGTCACTCGCAGTTCTTTTAAAAACACCTTAAAATAAGAAATTTTTGTAATTTTTTTAAATAAAATATCAAATTTCAGTAACTACAGTGTATTTGGTTTCATCTTGATAAAAAAGACTTAACAATAAAAAAGTTATCATACAACAGCATCATATTTTCTTTTCTTCAATAAAACCACTATCTGCCTTAACTACTGATTTACATTATCTTAGCATTCTTGTCAAGAATTTTAAAAAAGAGATGGCAGATCTTCACAAGCATTCTTTTAATCACTGAAAAAATCACTCACCTTATTTTGGTATTCTCTTCGAACTTTCCTGTCTAATTTATCCGATAATAATTCAGTGGGAGAGAGGTCAGAAGACCGAGTCGGCCAAATCAGCATTTCCAAAATTTTGCTCCATTTTTCACTCGAATTATTTTGACATAATTTAGAAGAGTGCTTTGGATTCTTATCTAGTTGAAAGGTGAATATTTTCAATTCAGAGGTCATATTTGATCTCATCATCAACAATTCCTTTCTGCCAATCTTTCAATATCTAGTTCTTATACATTTTTTTTATACTATAACAGCCTTTTTTGCTTATGCACCTTTCGTAACAGGGACTTCTTGATAGCGATGCAACCCCGGAACATCGCTGATCTTAGTCAAATTTATACAGTCGAGAGTGACATTGGTTGCTTTTGATAAGGATTAAGTTCATCTGTCAACTCTGGAGAAGTTTTCCTTCTACTAATTTTGATCTCAATAATCTAGTGTTTTCCTTCAGCAGCCATTACTATTCTAGCTCTCTTTCTCTGAACATATGCGGCAATTTCTAAATGTTTTTAGTAATGAATATTTCACTCCATGTCAATAAATTTTGCAATGTGGCTTTAAGAGTAATCCTCTGTCAATAAAATTTAAATTTCTGCCCTCACCTCAAAGCTTTGTTGCTTTGAATTCGAAAATTAGTGCAAATTAATTCAAAGTAAAAATAAAAAATGAAAAGAAACTATGAAAATTCTTTCGTAATAGCACAATGTTAATTTTTTTTATTTTAAAAGCGACATTTGTTTTGTTTACGGGGTGAGTTAACTTTTAGAACCTGTATTTAGTGGTGAGTTAACATTTAGAACCTGTATTAACATTTAACTTAACAGAAAATTTTGGTAAATTCAAAAAATATACTAAGGGGTTAATGGTGAAAATAAAATATAATGTTCTCGAACACAATGTTCATAATTTTTAAAATTGTATTGTGCAAACTCCAGGGCAGTCGTGAATAGATCTATTTACGACTGCCCTAGAGTTTGCTGCTGTGTATTATAACCTGCCAAAGGAAGAAATAGATATAATTCTCAGTGAAAAAAAAATCTGTCCTCATTCATAATGGGGAGCAATGGATAAAAAACAATAATGACCTTTTTGACATCACTATGGGATCTTTAGACTCTGCAGTCTTCTGACCTTGTTGGTCTTTTAATAGTGTACAACTTGACTGCGCACCGTGAAATAGATATTAAGGACATCGAACTGTATAGAGATGACGGGCTCATGGTAGTGAAAAGTTCTACTAATTTTAAAATAGTGAAAATTAGAAAGATTATATTTAGTGAATTTAAAAATCTAAACTTAAAAATAACAGTCAAATTGAAAAGGGCAAACTTCCTCGACGTAACTCTAGATTAAACAAACAACACATACCAACCTTATAAAAAAACAAATACTAACCCCTTATATATACACCCGAAGTCAAACCACCCTCCATCCATAATTAAACATACACCCTCATCAATAGAGAATGGAATCAGCATTAACTCCGCTAATAAAGAAATATTCCAACAACACAGTAACTTTTATAACGCATCTCTAAAAAATAGTGGATACAAGAATGCTAAAATCAATTATAGAAACAATTGTACTAACCAGAAAAAAAACAGGAAAAGGAAAATCATTAGGTATACCCCTCCGCTCAACCAAATGGTTAGTATTAAACTAGGACAGAACTTCCTAGCTTTAATTGAAAAACACTTTCCTACCAATAGTAGACTTAGTAGAATATTTAATAGAAAAAACCTTAAATTAAGTTACAGCTGCACTGAAAATCTAGAAAGTATAATAAAAAAACACAATAATAAAATCCTGAACAAACCCCCATGCCTGAATAGTATTAATAAAAACCCTACACTTAAATTAGACAAAAACAGTGAAAATTATGTGCTTGTAGAAAGAAGACTGCCCATTGGAAAATAAATGCTGCGTAAAATCTGAGGTATACCAATGTACTATCTCATCCATTGAGAGTCCAAATAGTAATACTATATACATTGGGTCTACGAAGAATGAATTTAAAACCAGATGGAGGCAGCATAAGTGTTCTTTCAACAATATGAATAAAAGAAATCAGACATCTCTATCTAAATATTTTTGGCATTTGAAGGAAATGAATTAAACACCAAAAGTAAAATGGAAAATTATAAACAAAACTAAAACTTGTAAAACTTGGGATGACCCATGCCCTTTATGCCTACACATTATTAAGTTTCTAAATAATAAAAATCTATTAAACAATAGACATGAGTTAACGGTTTTTTGCCGACATCATCAAATTTTTGCATTGAATAATTAGCATAAAAACAAACAATAAAATAATTTTTAAAATCCATAGTCCTAATAAATAGTTTAAATGCTCTCCAAAAAAAGATAACCCTTTATGAAGTCGTCAAAAAACAAATGTTAGCGATTTACGACAGTTTTTATATACACAAAACCCTTACAGAAAAAAATAAAAAATAAAATAAAAAAATAAATAAATCTCCATAGACACTTAACTAGACTAGGCGATGTCATCTTCCGCTTTAAATTTAGACACCCCAACCTTACCCCAACTTGACATCTGTAAATTGAACAGATATTGATACAAATTATTAACACCTTACGCTCCTTTTCTTTAAATAATTGCTCTAGCCGTTACCATAGAAATTTTGATTTCAATAATGAATATGCTTATAAAACGCGTAAATTTCAGAAATAAGTTATTCAAAAAAAAATTTCGCTTGAAGATAGAACAGAGCTTAGTACTTTAATTGAAATTAATTAAAATAATTATATTGAAGTTTTCGGCTCTTGTTTTGAAACATGAGAACTCTTATGTAGCGTGATGGAAACATATTTTTAAATAAATAATTATATATATATATATATATATATATATATATATATATATATAGGAATAAACACTGAAGTTAACACTCAGAGGTGACAGGCTGTTTCATGCTAGACACAATCGTCAGGGCGAAAATGTTGGATTTTTCCTCGACTATTTATATATATGGGTCAGTGAGGCATTGTGGGTAATCTGTTCTGGCGGTTATTTTTGCGGGAGTGGCTTTTTTATTTATTTATTTGTTTGGGTTAATTTATTTTATTTGTTTTTCATTTTGTATTATTTATTCTTTTCAGTTTTTGATTTTGAATTTAATCTGATCTAGCAATGGATTCAATATAGTCTTACCTAATTGTAATGGAACCCTGAACAATATGCCAGAAGAGTATGTCATTTAATTAACAGATACACGGAAAGTTCAGCTTCACCTTAGTGATTCCACGTGAATGTTTCGACTTCAATTACGAAGCAAAGGCCATAAGTCATAAACAGATACCCAGGCAGCCACTTATTGTCCACTTATTATATTCATAATAACTTGTGTGCCGAGTATTTAATATTTACATTCAAGAGCTCCACCGTCATCAGCAAGAAAGAAAGCAAGAATTAATTAAGTTTCATCTGCGAAGTATGACGGACTTAATAATTACCTTGGCATATCATCTATAATACTGACATGCTCGAAATTCCAAATAGTCTGACACAAGGCCACGAATATGACATTCAATAAGGATCGAACTCATAATAAATTAGTGTTAATAGTTTCAGTCCAGTCTATCGCCCACCTTCATTCACATTCTATGCAGCTAACAATAATAATAATAACTGACCCTCGTTGTGATGTGTGTCGATATGAAAGTCAGCCAATGGAACGGCCTCTAGAGAATTTAACAGATCGATTTTCAAGATCGATCACTCAATTTAACAGTATTAATCAACTGCAGACAACCACTGACCCATAGGGGGTTCTTCTAAGTTAAGTTTATTCTGGCATAAGGCTAGATAAACGAAAGACTCAACGAAGATGAAAGTAATTACATTTCAGTTAAAAAATACATATATATATATCAGAATGCGTATCGAGTAATTAA